AAAAAAAAAAAAAAAAAAAAGGGGGCACATCTAAAGGGGCGGGCAGGACTAAATCAGAAGCTGAGTGGCGTGGGGGCTGCGATGGGGAGAAGAGGGCGGAGTGCCAGCCCAGACGGCGTTCGCGGGGTTGGGGCGAGCATGAGGCACATCCTCTTAGGACCCGGAGGGAATGTGATGCCCGCACCCAATAGAAACTGGCTCTCACTCTGAATTAAAGTTAGTGAACACATTCAGGAAAAAAAAAAAAAAAAAAAAAAGCAGGTATTTGCATAGTTCTTTCCACGCCTGTTACAGGAAGAAGAAATCACGCACAGACATACAAACCAGGACGCGAGCTCCGGTGGATAGGATGGGAGCTCCTCTGTTTTCTGATCGCAGACATCAAAGTAACATCGTGCTCCACACCTCCAAACGCAGCTGACAAATCGGAGCCTCGTCCTCGGAGTCCTCAGGGTCCCCGCGCTGCGTCGGCCGGTGAGTGGCGATTTCTAATCAAATTCTCAAGAACCGATTCTCTTCGGGTTTGTTGGTTGTTGGGTACCGGCTTCCTGTCCCTTCACTCTCAGGTATCAGAAACAGCACGGAGGCAAACGCAGATCTCTCAGCTGCAGGACAAGGGACCGGGACTAGGAACCTATCTGCAGATTCTACGGGATCATTTGTGCAGAAACGCTCTAAGAAAAATATAATGACACGCAGAATAATCTTGTGTGTCCTAAATCATTGCGATGAGATCCAAGAGTGCCCAAGTGTGGTAGCGTGGCCGAGCGGTCTAAGGCGCTGGATTAAGGCTCCAGTCTCTTCGGGGGCGTGGGTTCGAATCCCACCGCTGCCAGACTTATTGCAAAATGACTAGGGATATCTAAGGGTTATTGAGGTTTGCAAGAGAAACATTTTCCACTACGAGCGCAAGGTAGGTGTTTAATCCTGTTAATGGTAGCTTGAAAACAAAATAGTGGTCGTAAAATCAGACTGCCATCAGTTATATCTAAGACCTCATGTACAAGTGATTATGTTCCTTCTTATGTTTTAAAAATGTTCATACAAAAAGTGCAACTCACATGATTCAAAACTACAAAAATTTAAGACTACATACATAATGACAGTCTATTTGAACCCCCACCTCATCCTGCTGGACACCCAATTCTGGACCCTCAGGCAACAAACCATATTAAAATCTGGATTTCCAGTCAAGGCATAGTTTTTGCATATACAAGCCAATAGAACACTATTGCTTTACTCACTATAAATATGCTTTCCAAACCCGTTCTATTACACCTTTCCTTTTTCACTTCATGTATGTTGCAGAAGTTTCCATGTCAATAAAGAGCCTCTTCCCTCTTGTTTTATCTGCATAGCATTCAGTTTTATGAATAATCTTAATTTATTTCAACAGCCATTTTTAACAATATAAATAATATTGTAATAAATTGTCTATCCACAATTCATAAGTGTGTGGGATTAGAAAACTTTCTAAATGTGCAATTGCTAAATCAAATCATATGTGTGTGGTGATGATTTTGCTGGCTCTCGCCTTATTCTCCTTCCCTAAATCTTACTAATTTATTCTCCTATAGGTCCCAGGAAGAACCTATTTCCTCAACACCCTGACCAGCACAGAACATTGTAATAATGACAATTATCAGTCATTTAGCTCCAGCTAAGCCTCAGATACTGTTATAAATTCTTTACATATATTGAGTCATATAATATTATGACATTGCATATATTACATATTACATATGTAATATGTCAGGTTGCATATATTACATGTGTGATATGGCATATTACATATTACATATGTAATACATATATGAGTCATATAATAATCTTAATAATCTACAAGGAAGTTCCTATAATCCACCTTTTACAGAAAATTGGAGTTGTGACCAATTGATCACATAATCACAGCGTCTAAATCACACAGATTGTAGATGGAGGAATAAGGATGTCAATGCCTGTGATTGAATGAAAACTGCTCCAAAAGATATCCACGTTCCAATTCCTGGAATCTCTGTATATTATCTTATTTTGCACAGACACCTAAAAGGGGGATCTTCGGAGAAGAAGTTAAAGATGAGGAAATTATCCTGGATTATCCAAGTGGAGCTCAAATACCATCACAAATGCCGTTATTGAGAAAGGCACAAGTGACAGAAGAGGAGAAGGCAATGTGACCATAGGGAAACAGATAGGAGTGATGCCACCACAAGCCAAAGAATGCAGGCAGCCACCAGAGGCTGGGAAGAGGCAAGGGCATATTTCTCCCCCAGAGTCTCTCGGGGAGCACAGTGCTGCCAACATGTTTATTTCAGACCAGTGATACTGATTTTGGACTTTTAGCCTCCAGAACTGTGAGAAAAGAAGTCACTTGTTTTAGCCCACCAAGTTTGTGGTACTGTAATTTGTTAAAGAAGCTA